TCCACTTTGCTGCTGCAACACCGGAATTTCCCCATTGTGGGACAAATAAAGGAATATCTTATCAACAGATTCAGTAAACCAATGAGTTGGCCTGTAAAGAATAAAAAGAATTAAGAATAAAAGTAGAAAACAGTTCAGTTAAGTGCGTTTTATTTAAGTCCTGTCATCCTAAACGTGATCGGGAAAAGGCTGCCAAACTGTGATCCCAATTACCCTACCGACATCCCAAATATGGAAAGATTAGGACTTTGTTAAGATTGATTTCTGATGGGAACGGATCGAAAAGATCAATAGAGCAATAAACTACTTCTGGCAAAAACCCCTTTGAAAAAACAGAGGTAAAAACAACTAGATACAAATGACCAAACCTGTGTTGACTTTATTCTTTTGCAGGCACAAAGAGTGTTAACAGCACCAAGTTTGAATCTGCAGCATCAAATATGTGTTTATGTTTACTGTTATTGTTCTGAGCCATAGGATTACACACTTCATGGGTACTTTTACCTGCGGTTTCTAACTTAACATGCTAAATATGAGGGCTTAATGTCGTGTTAAGGAAGCGTTTAAAAGTTGTATTTCCAGTATTGCAAGATGAAACACACACGCTGTCCTCTTTGAACGTAAAGTTGTCCGCTTGACTCACTCTGGCCACAAAGTCAACGTCAAGACGCAAAACAAAACAAATATGTTGATTAGAAAACCAAAAGAAGTCGCAGTTCTACAAAAACAAGTTAAAAAAAAACACACACATCGTAAAGACACAAACGACAACAAGCACACAACGGTGAACCCCAACCTTCGTAGTGCAGTCTCCCGATGTTATTGTTCATCTTGTCCAGGAACTGAGAGTTCAACAGGTCCATTCTAGTGAATAGCATTTACACGAACAGGCTAGTTGCTAACATCGATGTTAGCAAGATATACCAGCGAAGATAACGAACACTTCTATCCTGTAGGAGGAGAAAATGTGGACAGATTAGACAGTAATCGGAAACGCAAACTTGACTTACATTATAAGCTATTTAACGGAAATGGAGGATACTCTCTTGGAGTTAGCTGTTAGCTGGCTAACGATGTGACGTTAACAAGTCCAAGGCTAGGCTAGGCTAGGCTAGGCTAGGCTAGCGTACCCCACTAGCTTTCACGGCTACATACGTTAAATATGAAAGTTACATTCGCTGATATTATGGTAACAATCACTATTACAACAAACCGGGTTGAACATATTGTTACAGTAGTCAGCTTAACTCGACTGTTACCTTAGTTACAGGAGTTAGCACACTCGGTAGCTAACTTTAGCTGCCATTAACGACTAGCCCCCAACTTTGTAGTGAGTTAACTTTAGAGGTTTTTTTTTCCCCCGATTCAACTCGCAACACCGAACAAACGTTGAACCACACATACACAACTTACAGATGGGTAACGTTCAGTGGGGTTTATGTCCGAAAACGGGGTTTTCCAGTAGTAGGAGTTAATGTTACTCACTTCACATCGACAGCTTTAGCTTTGCAGCCACTACATCACCATGGCTCACCCAGCTCGTCTTTACGCTGCATTCACGCACTTTCCCACCGCACTAGTCTGCACACAAAAGAGTGGTGAGCGGCCCTAGTGGAGACGAGGCAAACGAGGGCGAAGTTACCGGGTTCGGGGATCTGCTCGACACAAAAAAACGTTCAATTCAAAAGGTGCCTTTTATTCACGTTTAATTATAAAGTCTATGTTTGTTTACATAATATACTGCCATGGTCCATGTAGTGCAGTGTCGTTCTGCCTATCAGCAACATCAACGATTTAATTTACAAAAAATGATGCAAAGGTTGAAAAATAGAAATAGACTATAGAATATATTTAATTGAACAGTTTGACACACACTTCATATTGGCCAAACTAAAATTCTCCAAGCAGCTGTTACACAGATGTTTAACCTGTCTGTTAATTGTTTTTGCATACTTATTTTGTTCATACAACCTATTGCACTCATAAATGGGCAGAGCTCTCTCTCTCTCTGGTCGTCCAACATAAAGCCATGTGCCATTACCGCAACATACCAAATATTGCAATGATTTCCACAGCATAAGCTTAGGCCTACAATCAAACTGCACAATGCAAGGAGCTGATCAACATCCTGATTGCAGCACAGAGACCACTGGGGGGTATAGTCATCTGACTGTAAAGACTAAACACTTCAGCAAAGTGGAGGTTGGTTTAGATGTTCACTACACCACTACTACCAGCTGATGTCACCCTAGCATCTATGCATACGATTCAGCGCATAGTGCAGCTTTTCTCGAGCCAACACACAAGTAAAATTGTAGACTGTCCTCATCACTGTCTCTAATGACCAACATTTAAAAAGAAAATTAGACATCCAGGTCCAGTTTTAGTGAGTCGAGCAGGCTCGCACCCAATCTCCACCCTATACTGTTCTGCATACTGTACTGTACATTATGGAGAGTACAGCATACAGTGCATAGCCTTTATTTATGTCCTCAAATCAGAAATTTGACTCAGAGCTTTACAATCTGGACAACATACAACACCCTCTGTCATTAGATCATATAATTAAGGAGAAACTCCGCGCCCTCCAACTGGAAATAAAAAATACAATACAAGTATAACGAGTAACCAGACAGGGTGACAGTCAAATTAGAATATGAAGAAATAGCATGACAATATTAAACAAAAAGAAAATAATCAAGTAAGAGCTGGATTTTTTACCGTCATGGACTCAACGCCACTATTTGTGTGAAGCTCAGCTTTGACAAATGGTGTTATTGTTATTTTTCAGGATTATTTAGTCTTTTATTACCAATTCCCTCTCCTGTTGTTGTGCTCTCTGTGCCTGTCAGTGCAGTTTAAATCTTCTGATGGCCTAGGGAGTGTGCGCAGTTAACCAGTTGAGTGGGTTTTCAATAGACAACAGCCAGCTAGTCATTGTAGCTTTATGATTATATTAAAAATATTCACGCTGAGAAATAAGGATTTAATTGCTTCAGCAATAAGATATATAGATCTTTTTATAGCTAATCAGTTTAAACTGTGCAGCCCCTGGGTCGGATTCGTGGTGACCTTCTCCCTCCGAGTTATTGATTTCATTTTCAAAATGTCCTGTGTTGAAGACATGGTGGTCTGCAATGGCTTCATCACACAGCTTTCATTTCTCCTATATTCTTTGTATATAGACCAATTAAAACACGTTAGAGCAACCTATTAATGTATTACCAGTGGCTGTGTAATTATTTATTTTCTCCAAAATTAGTAATGAAGTTATTAATATGTGCTTCAAAAAGATCTGAATAGAGAAAAATATCATAAACATTTATATTTTAGGTGTGCGGAAGTGAATGTCCGTATGAAAATATAATTGGACATTATAATAAACTATGGCACCCATGGTGGACATGTGCTGTCCAATTAAGTCTAATAAAGCAGTGAGGTAAAGCATGTCTTGCAGGCAATTATAATAAGTAAAAACAGTAGCTACATAGAGATTGCTAAATCAATTAAGAGAGTGGATTTACTGCATGCATCTGTGTCTCAAAGGACCGCTGCTGACGTTTGTCCTCTCATTCAACATTGCCCACTAGTCCTAACAGCCATTTTAGATTTCACTGTTGCATTTTACACACACAGCAATGCCATACAGAATGTGCATGGGCAGGGGGCAGGGCGAACACGAGTAACAGAGGGAGCATGGGCAAGGTGACTGTGATGTAGTACTCAGTATACCCTCTTGCACTTACTCTGGAAACCCCTCTATTTTGATTTTGAATGCTGTGGTTCAAGAAAGCGTGACGCCTGTGAGGCAGTAGAAAATGGGGGAGGGGAAGGGAAGGCAGTTACGCCAGTGAGTGAGAGTGGAGAGAGGGGAGGACAAGAGGAGGAAGGAGAGGCATAACCACAGCATCACTGGGAATGGTTGAGGAAAGCACAGGGTAAGGGGATTGGTTGAGGGTGAGTGTAGCGTCACTGTCAGTGAGGGGGAGCTCTGAGGATGCTCTGCTGAACTGGGAGGGAATACATTCGCTGGGAGTTTGCATTTAGAGCTCAGCCATTATTAGCTGTACACTGAGAACAGGGACTCCTCTGCAGAATCATTCTCCACACCCAGTGCTTGTTGACTCTTCTGCTCTCTCCGCTGCAGCCATGAATTATTTGCGTCGGCGTCTCTCGGACAGCACGTTCATCTCCAACCTGCCCAATGGCTACATGACAGACCTCCAGAGGCCTGAGCAAGCTCAGCCTCCTCCACCTGCCTCCACCACCCCTGCCAAGTCTCCTACAGCTGGGCCTACACCTCCAGCCACTTCTCCTGCTCCAGAGAGGAAACCCCAGACTTCTCAGTCCACTGGAGCGGGTTTCTTTAGCTCCATCACCAACGTTGTTAAGCAGACAGCTGCCTCAGCAGGGCTCGTGGAGCAGACCCAAGTCACGACACCTAAGAAGTTCAAGATTCTCCTGGTAATTGACGAACCACAACAGGAGTGGTAAGACAAAATGTTGCTCTACTCAGTCATATACTTCATCTTCAATCATTTATAGCCTATTGTTCGTTTGCTCATCCTTAATGCTGATTTTATCCTCATGATCCATTTGAATGTAGTAGTTAGGTAAGGGTTAAAGAACCACTGAAACAACATCTGTATCAAGCACCCTGCAGATGTGAATGGTTGCTGCTGCTGTGGTTTGATGGTACAGCATGCCAGTGTTACGATAATACATGGAGGCAGTCAATACTTAAGGAAATAGGGTCCATTGATTCTCAGCAGTAAGGACATTACACCAAGATAGAGGATTTTTATTGCCCTCTATTTTGTGTGTGTTGTCATTTTTTCTGTAGTATTTAATTTTGTTATACATATTGGAGCAATAGAAGGGTAGGGTTTTTGACAGCTGCTTGTAAAATAAATTGTGAATTTACTAAAATAATTGATAGTATTGCCCTGTAGTGTGGCATTTTACCATTCCTTAAAATGGATGTTCCACAGGTTGTGCAGAATTGGGAAATGTGCACTACATACTAGTCTACATACTGCAGCGCTTTCCCTCCATCAATGGGGTTTCCCCCTGCTCACTGATAGCAGATCACATGACATGCCCTGCGCTAACACAGGGAACAATTCATGTAACAGCATCCCATGGTACGTAGGGTTTTATTAGTTGATCATACAAACAGCAGATAGGTAAGTAAAAACACAAAATAGAAAAATGGAATTACATCATCCGATGGCTGTATTTCTCAGCCTTCTCTGAGAAAGAACCATTGTGTCATTAATGTTAAGGGTGGGCTTGAGGCATTTACAGTAAGCCCCTTGCGGTCAGTGTCCTCAGGGATCTTAAAACACCCATCATCGGTCTGCTGTGGCAAAGTGTTTGAAATAAGTATGCACATGGATTTATTGGAAATCTTTTTCATAGACACTGACATCTTGTAGAAAAATAAAGAATATGGTAATTCTATCACCACGTGATCAACACTTGTTTACACAGCTGGCAAATTTTCCACAGCGATGTGTGTGTTAGAGCTGTGTTAGTGGATGCCCCACACATTTGCACAGTTTTGGATGTGATTTCTATTTTCTCCCAACTCTGTGATGACTTACTAATGTACAGAGCAAAGAGACTACTTTCACACCAGTGATATGCTGACTTTGTGGAATCTTTGGGCTTTCCTGAGACATGGCAATAAAATCTGAATTAAATCTACACCCACCTTCTTTAAGCATTGGTCAACACCACAGTATTTGCTAGTTTGATCTGATTTCTAGCCATTTCTTTACAGAGCAAGGAAACAGACTCCTCAAAGATATATTTATGCACTGTGCAGATGGCAAAAGGCCTTCACATTTGGGATCCACCCATGCAGAGTGTAATGTTGTATTCATGCCGAATGCATTGTGTATCATGTAGAGACCATAACAAGAAGGCCACTGTGGTGGGATTTCATTTTGCACTGATGAAGATACATATACCGCTGAATTTAATTGAATCTTTGGAGGAAATTGCCCTCAAAACACACCAAATCACACTAATATAAGGATATAGGCTTGCTTAATTCAGGTGGTCTTGCAGTGTCATCTTACGTGTGCAAGACTGGGTAATTATAAAAAAGAAACCTTGATCAATATTAATAAGATCAGACCCTCATTGGGGGGATGGATTCCAGCCATATGCATTCAATTGTTCCACATTTGTTGTGAGTGGAAAGAAAGGAGCTTGTTGAGGAAAAAGGATCACAGTCTGATGTGCCAATACCCTGGCAATGCTCTGTATTTCTGGCAGAGGAGCACATTATAATATATTAAACTAAAGCCTTGTCATTCATCGAAGGTCATTCTAATTGAGAATATTGAGTAGGTTGGGTTGGCAGTAAGATAATGTTTTACAATCCACCATTCTCACTGTTAATATTTAACAAGATCTGATATGAAGTAATTCCTCTGGATTTAATAAAAACGTCAAGCAATTTCCTGCTTCTTACATCATTCCTGTTGTCTAATATAATGTTAGTTCACTGTATTCTCCACAGACTACTATTGCTCTTAATGTTACACATCCACCGGGGAGATCAGCTAAAA